GTTTGGTTTTGTTTAGGGCTCGTGGCAGGGCCGGGCCCAGCCGAGCCCGGGATGCAGAAAGCAGCCAAGGAGGACCCTGGAAAAGCCAGGGCAAACAGCAGGGTCGTTAAAAGTCCTGCCTCAGCTACACTGCAGATAAGCCCCCTGCTTATCGCCACCACATCAGCAGCAGGAGTCAGCGATCCGGAGGCTGCGGGGGCCAAATCGCCGTCTGGCCGCCCGCCTAATGCAATCAGGGACTCCCTCCAGCCAACTCCTAAATAAACCCAAATCCTCCCCAAGGCCACATCCCGGCTCCAGGGGTAGGGGGGCAGGACTCAGGCACCCATCGCACCACACAGGGGAAGGAAAGCCAGGGGAGCACCCAGCTCCTCACAGCCTGCAGGAGCTCAGGCCGAGCTGTGTGAGGAGCTCGCCTGCAATTTCACTTCCCTGCCCCAAAAAGCAGAGATTTGCACAACAGTGTGAGTTAGGAGAAAATCAGTCAGGTACATTTTCATCCTAGGAGGGCAACTGCTCCCATCTAGACAAAACCAGTGTGAGGGACACTGGATTTAGCATCCTGGAGTTGCTGGGTTACTCCAGTCCTGTGATAACTGGTATCCATCACTAGAAAGAGGGGCTCCACACGTACCTGGGAGGGCATCACCTCTGCATTGGTGCCACAGATCTTCACCCCCGCGTAGAGACAGGCCTTGTAGTGGGACTCCACGATATCACGCCCATACACCTTATCTGCCCCAACCCCACAGTAATAGGGGCCTGGAAAGGAAAGAGGAGTCACCACCCAAGTTGAGTTTTGGGAGCAACAAGAGCATTGCAGGACAATCCCACCACTCCCAGGTCCCAGCCACCATCTGCAGAGGATTTATGGGAGTTAAATGGTGTTGCCCTCCACAGTGCATCAAGCCCCCGACCCCTGCTCCAGGACCAGCAGCGTGAGCAGTTAATCTGTGCAGCCTCAGGCTTATCTAGGCAGTTAAACAGGACTTGTAAGGCATCAGCTGGGAGGTAGCCAGAAGATAAGGAGAGCTTGGCTTGGTCTGCCCTGCGGCACCTCGCTGACCCTCGGAGCACATCAAGCATCCCAGACTGTTCTGACAACAGCCAGCATTGTTCATGGCTAGAAAATTCAACTCAAATTCAACTCAGCCGTGGTTTTACGCAGCTCTTCCTCATTCAGAAAGGTCAGACGAAGACCTTCTCCCTGCCTGGGGGAAAGGCCATGTCGAAAGCAGCCGGTCCCCACAAAACGCTGGCTGGGTCAGGTTGGGAAAGCCCCAGCCCTCTCCCAGGAGGCAGCTGAGGCACCAGGGCTCAGAGGGCATGGTGTGCCAGCCCTTTCCCACGCAGCGCTGGGGAGGAGGTTTCTCCAGCTGAGTTCTCCAGCCCTTGCCAAACAAGTCCTGCAGCCGAGCTGTTTGTGTAAGCAGGGTCCGGGGGGAGCAGCATCCACAGCTCCTGACCTCATCCCCGCTCCTGCCCCGTGCCAGCCATGCCAGGAAAGCTGCACCCAAGGCTGGGGATGGGATGCCTGCCCTCAGGCAGCACCCCCAGGCAGCAGGGTGGGAGCCGAGGGCAGCGCTGGGGGTGAGGAAGGGACCTACCCCTCCCACCACTCACCCTGCGGGCCGGGGAAGCCGTTGTCGGGCCAGCCGTAGGGGTGCCCGTTGATGCCCAGCAGCGTGTACTCCTGCTCCATCCCAAACCACGGGTGGCTGTCCTTAACCAAGTCCATAACTTTCTTGCACGTGTGTCTCAGGTTGGTCTCTGGGAGCAGAGAGAGGTCCGGGTTAGTCTGGTGCCGTGCCAAGTGCTTCCCACAGAAGCCTTAAAGAAACCGGGGAGCGAATCCCTACTTCCCACAACACTCCCTGCTCACTGGTTCCCTCCTCACAGAGCTACTCCATCACCAGAGCATCAGGCCACTAGCCAAGAGGGTTTAATTAGCCATGAGGTGGTCCATGAACATCCTCCTCTTACACACCAAGAGACCAGAAGCCATACCCCAGCCCTGTCCTACAGGCATCCAGCAGATCTGGCAACAAGGACAAGACATCTCCCATCACTACTGCACCCTAAACAGATCCTGTTTCTACCAGTCTCAGCTTAATTATCCTCATTTTCCTCCATCTCAGTGTTGTTATCATCCAGGCTGGCTGGCTATGCTCAGGGCAACCAGGGCTTTGCCAGGAAGATACAGATATCAGAGAATTATCCTGATACAGGACAACGTGCCAGGCAAGGGAAATGAGAGCTTGGACAGAAACAGTGGGGGCAAAGTAGGCTGAAAAACTGTTGTCATAGGACAGGCAGTCTCCAGGCTGCAAATTCTGCCTTTAAATCACAATAAAAGACTCCAGAGCAGCTATGACACATGCCCAGAGCATGGAGCTGGAGAGGAGCAGTGGCATCTCCCTTGCACTGGTGGGAGAAGGTAGGAGAAGGGTGGATTTTACACACTCCCAGAGCCCACACAGCCCTTAACATCGTGGAGACCCACCCCAGGAAGAGCTGGAGGGTGCACCCCTCTTGTCTGCAGGGTGGTGCAGGGCTCTGGGCTGAGCTCTCTGCCCCAGCCCCAGGGCCAGGAGCTCCAGGGCCAGGAGCTCTCTTTACAGGCTGCTGGGGCAGGAGCTGCCGGGCAGGAATCTCAACCAGGGCGCTTTCCCTGCGGCTGAGAGGCACGACGCCGCTGGAAGAGGAACCAGCCCCCTCTTTCACCATCGCTGCCCACAGCCTCTGCCCTGCATCACCCTGCAGATGCCGTCCCCTTCCCCCCACGCACCCTGCCGGGACGTGGCCTCGCCTTCCCGGCAAATATCCCCCCGGGGAGCCTCTCGCTCTGTCCCTGCAGACCAGCTGCCCCTCCTCCGGCCGGGGCTTTATCGCTCGGACGGGCCGGACACGGGGCCCGCCGAGTCCTGCCTGCGGCGATAAGAGCCAGCGCCGGCGCTCGCAGGAGGTCACCCCGAGCTCCCCGCAGCGCCCCAGCGCCTCCTTCCTCTTCTGCAGCCGCCCGTCAACGTGCTAACCCCCCCCGGCTTCCTGCTCCCCCGCGGTAACCCTGCAGCCCCAGGGCTGGGTGTGCCAGGCTCAGAAACAGGGTGACGCCTTGGGCCACCGAGCGCTGCCAGCCCCACGGCTCGCTGCTCTCCTCCTCGCCCTGCTAGAACAGGTTCCCCCTGCAAACCACCGCTGCCACCCGAATTTCGGAGCCTCGGGCCAGGTGCTCGGCACCGAGCTGCTCCCCAGGGCCAGTGGTTCAGCCCCTTGGAGAGATGACACCCAAAATAACAACAAGCGACCCTCAGGAGCTGGGGGTGCATGATGGAGCTGCTCACCTGCAGGTTTCCTGTTGTACTTGAGCACTTCGCAGAGCACCAGCTTGTTGGGGTCCAGGCAAAAAGGGTCCCTGAACATGCGGACGGGCACCAGGAACATGTCACTGTTGGAGCCCTCTGCCTGCGCCGTGCTGGAGCCATCGAAATTCCACTCGGGGACATCTGCGAGGCAGGAGGGGGACAGAGTGGGGAGCGGGATTGGGAAAGGGCGTCTCTCATACAGCTTGTGCCGAGTGCTGGTGGATTAGACCTGGGATGGAGTGCCCAGAGGGCACCGAGTGCCACGGGACAATGACCACAAAGGTTTCCTTGCACATCCCCGGAGCTCAGCAGTGATCTACAGCTGTGTTCACCCCCCACCCAGCACCATCAGGGCACAGGCAGGATCAACGCTGGCCACTTCACCTCCCTCTGCCAAACCCCTTCCGGATGCCAACACGACTCCATGGCTGTTTACCTGGTGGAAAGGGGTGAGGATCTCATCCTGCCCTTCCCACCCAACGCTAATGACGGAGATTATGGATTAAGCAAACCACAGCAATGTAGGCCAGATATTTATCCTGCTGCTTGATACAACCCCACAAGAAACTTCAGCAGCTATCACCAGCGTGCCACTCAGCCAGCGAGTGCCAACTCCCACCACACAAAGCACACCAGAACTCTTCCCCGGTGATGCTCGGGGCTCCACCATGCCACCCATCATCTGGAGGGGCAAGCAGCAGCATTACCTTTGATGCTCTTGGGCTCCTTATCGAGGGTCCTGCTCTTGCAGCGCACGCCCTCGCCGCTGCCG